AGTTTTTTTCAATGATTTGTTTAAAGTTAATATAATTGCGTTATGATCAGGATGCTCTGTTAATATTTGGCATGACAACTACCTCTACATTCGGAGGCAGTATTTCTCTGAATCAAACCTTGGAAAATTTTGGCTCTAGGATTCTGAGAGTTATGGTCCTGAAAGTAATTCTTCCAAACTCTCCTCTAAATACCAGTTGCTGAGGAAGGAAGAGATAGCTGCTATTTTGCAAGCAGGAAGGTGCTCTATATGGGCCCTTGGTCTGGTACAGCAGCATTATGTTTTTTCTATATATAGAAAAAACATTATATATATATATATATATATAACATAATGCTGCTGTACCAGACCAAAGGCCCATATAGAGCACCTTCCTGCTTGCAAAATATATATAATAACAGCACAGAAGCTCATAAGTCTGTTTATTCAGAAGTAACCTTCTATCAATTCAGTAGGGTTTTGTTGTTGCTGTGTACCTTCAAGTCATTTTTATTTTATTTCCGGTGACCCTAAAGTAAAACCATCACAGTTTTTTCTTGGTAGGATTTCTTCAGAAGAGGTTTGCTATTACCTTGCCCAGGGTCATTCAGCAGGTTTCCACATCCAAGCAGGAATTCGAATCCTAGTTTCCTGTAGTCCGAGTCCACTGCAGAACATTGGCTCTCAGTGGCGTTTACTCCCATTTTAAGTACATATTTCAGTTTTATGATACACAAGATTATGTTTCTGTGTCATAAATCACAACATTTAGGGTGGTTTTAATGTCTGCAAATTTGTATTGTTTTTAGATGATATTTTAAATTGTTTTATTGTCATGTGTTTTTAGAATTTTGGGGTCCCTTTGGGGAGAAAGGCAGGATAGAAATCAAATAAATAAATAAATAAGTATGTCCCACTAACAATATTCATTGTGTTGTCTCCTAAACAAGATGGGTCCATGCCTGGTGTGCCCAAAAACCAATAAAACACCCAGAGTTGGAAGATCAAATGAAGTTGTTTATTCATAAACCACACAGAAACAAGTGCTTGGCAATGATTTCCAAAGCAAGCTCACACAAAGGTGCCTTCATACTAATTTATATAGTCTGTCTACTAATGTGTCCTGTTTTTATTGGTTGCAGTTTATACACAGGGCACCTTTCCATTGGTTATCTAATGTCTTCATCCTGTATGTTCTACTCATTGCACACACATTCTTTTGTACTCATATTATTTCCTTCCTACCCATGGCCCTCTTTGCTTCCACAGATGCTTCTCTTGGTTGTTTCATTAACTCTTATCACACTTCCCTCATCAGCTTTCTTTAGTAAGCATTACACGCAAAGCCTACATGCTTACTATGCATAGCTTTTAAGCTTTTAAATGTTTCCTACTTCATTGTATAGTATAGGATTCAGGGGCAGACAAAAAGGTAATTCAAGGCATTGATATAAGACAGTAGCCAGATTTGGATTATGAAATAGTACCAAGGGCAGGAGTTTCCCCTTCTTAGATGCTTCAACACTTAATTCCTGGCTTTTAGTTTAATATAGGGGAAACATCCCCCACACCCCCGTTTCTTCAATTGAAAGGGATCCAGAAGTGTCTGACATAAAAGACTACAGTTCTTGCCCAAAGAGTTAAAATCTAGAAGTAATGACACACAAAAAAAAAAGGGGGGGGAGAGATAAAGGGGGAAATAAATTAACATAGGTAACAATGGAAATAGTTGAAAGCCGGATGAGCCACAGTAACACACTAGACTGAAAGTGTTGATGGAGTGACCCATGCAGACTAGTCTTTTCCTCTGCAGTGGCATGCATTTGGATCAGACTCTAGTTTATGGTTCCATTTAATGATTTGAGATTAAGCTATAATTAGCCTGTTCGGAAGCAATGTGCAACTGTGACTTAATATAATGCAGTAAGAAAATGTCAAAATGAAAGGGGGAGGATAGAGTAGGGTAGGAGCACTCACCTGTGATTCTGGTTCCTCACTTTGTAAAGCATAGTTTATTTTCCCCCCCACAAAACAGTGATGCTTTTATTAGGCCAACCAAAATGTCCAAAATACATGTTCCGGGCTGTGAATGCTCCATTGGTTTCTTCATCAGGTAAAGCATAGTTTATGAAGCAGAAAAGATTAATCTAGACAGACTATGTTATATCATTGCATATATAACTTGTAGATTGGATAAGAGAAGGTTAAAAAATAGTTTGACTGCTGGCTAAGTATAGCTGGGAATATTATTATTATTTTTTTTGTCAAAGTACAGATGTTATAATATCATGTGATCTGAACATTCAGGCCCAAAACAGATGGGCCAAATAGAGCAACTTCTGGCCGCTTCGGAGGCATGTGTTTAGATGACACATGCCCCCAAAGAAACAGGAAACTGTTCCAAGGGCACAACAAGGCAGCCTTTTCTGGAAGCTTGTTTTGGACCACTGCCGCAGCCCCCTTTAGGACCTGGCCGTGTGATCCCCGCAGTCCCAGGCCAACTGAGCCCAAAGTGGTCTCTGGCCACTTCTTTTCTCCCATCTGCTTCACCTTTTGGTTGCTTCTAGGTACATGATTGCTTTAAAATGGTCAGAGTTGGAAACAAAATATTAGATAACCCAGATGTTACACATCTATGTAAAAGAGAACAAAGGAAGGCTAATTTTGATTTTAATAAACAGAACTCAGTCCTATGTTCTTCATTGTGCTTCATTTTAGCATTCAAAACATAATTTATTTATTTTACTTCAGAGCAAAGGTGGATTTTAAGTATACAGTTTGTGTTTGATCACCTAATTTTTCTTCTGTTTAAAACAAAGAACAGCTGGCTAATATTCAAGTTTTTAAAAGTGCTTATTAGAGAAAAAGAAAAATAGTAAGCTTTTTCTGTATCATCCAGTCTGAATACAGGAAGCAGCTTTTTTTACAGCTTGTCTAGATATCTAGATCAAGATCCTACAAGGGGACACAGCAGCACAAGAGTAAACAGTGGCAGTATGTACTCTCAGTCCTATGGGTCCACTTTGTGCTAGCTTGTCCAGTTGCTTCTGACTTTGCCCTTTCAGTAAAAAATACACCACACAAGTCTGGTGCTTGACATGAGAGAATGGGTGGCTCAAAAATTCCATGACTCAATTCCCCCATCTCAAATGAAAAACATTTAAAGCAAAACCATGACTATTCCACTATGTATTTATCTGGTATATCATTTCATGGTATACTACAAAAACACTATACAGTAGCCCCTCCTAATTCATGGGGGATCTGCTCCAGACCCACCCACCCCCGCAAAAATGGCAGCTCAGAAATATTCGAGCCCCATTGAAAATAATGGTGTGTACCCCATTTTGTCCCCCTCTGTTTGCCGCCCACAAACGGGCGAGGGATGCGGACTCCAAGTCTGTGAAAATGGAGGGATGACTGTATATTCATTTGGTATATTATTTCATGGAAGAAAGGATAAGAAGAAAAGGTAAAAGAAGAGAACAAATAGATGGCAACAGTCAATAAAAATTGACAAGGGACCAGAGTAGATGGGCAGGAAAGAGTGGCCCAAGTCCACTCCGACTAGAAGTGGGTCAGAACCTCGTTGATCACCCAGCCTGCTCCCAAGGCAGGCCATGCTTGCTGAGGCTGACCAGTGCTTCCAGGAGCTGGATTATCCCAGCTCCTTTTTGCTCCAGTCCAAAGGACCAAAGCTTGGCCTCAGCATAACTTCCAGCCACTTTGGAGACATGTGTCGTCTAATCGACATGCCTCCAAAACAGCCGGAAGCCGCTTCTTTAGAACCGTGTGTTTCACCCCAGGTGAATTTTTCCCCAGTAACTGACTCAGTTCTGTCCAATATATATATTTTTTTCAAACCAATTATCAACATATAAATTATGTTTATATGAATATTTTAATGTTGTGATTTGCCTGCTGGTTTAAGAATTCTGAATTCTTCAGGTATTTAACTACTTCTGACACAAATCAGACTTTGTTATCATCACGTTTTTCTTCAGCTTTGGCAGTATTACCACTTGGCAAGAGCTCCCTAAAGGCTCTGAAGACCTTGGCATTTTCGGAGAGTCCTAGCCTGCAAATGTCTGTGCTCTTTTATTTGCAGATAAGTCAATGCAGTAAGTAAGATTTGTTGTCCCTTGTGCTTCTTAGAGTCCACAGAAACCTGGAGAAGGAAAACATTTTAGCTGAATGGTGTCTTCACAAATCCCTATTATATAGAAAAGTTTAATTGTGTAAATATTCTTTCACTTATGCACACCAGAGGATATTTTCTGCTTCATGGGTGTTAAAAGTTGTACCAGTTGAGATGATGCAAGGAAGGTGAGTATAGGTGTTAAATAATATTATTTGAACTCTATCA